TTTATAATTTTCAAAACATTTCGTAACGGTCTGTTTGTTTATATTTTGCATGAGTGTCGATGTGTGTGTGTGTGTTTTTGCTTAAAAATTTCAAATTTGCTATGACTTACGACTCTTTGTAAAGTGGGAATGCACCTGAACAGAGGTGGAGGCAATATTTTTGGTATATACACACAATAAAATACCATCTGAAAAACATAAACAAAAGCGAAAGTCTAGATTTTTGGCTTAAATACCATTTGTAGACCATCTTGAAGCTCTGCAAATTTGTAAACAATCGGAAAATGTATGCCAAAGGTATTGTGAGTGAATGGCTTAGATGTGGGAACTTCGAACTGGCAAGCAGAAGGTCGCTGGTTCAAACCCAACAATATATCTCAATTTTCTTATGAATGTATGGTAGTTTACAATAATTATGAAGTTTTTGCCTTTGGTTTACGTATTTTAACAGCCACAATGCTGTTTAAGGTAATCTAATATACTTTCGGGTTCGAACTCCCGAAAAACATAATAATAACTAATAAGGATATACACATTTTTGAATAATATTTCATAATACTTACCACTTATATTGTTTCAATTTACTTTTAGGCCACGTTCTGTTGATCGCCATTGGTGTAGCCGTGTGTTTAGTGTGTGGCAGCGTGCTGGTCACTGTGATTACACTGCGACGCAGCAGCAGCTCCACGGCAGCGGCGTCCGCGGCGGCAACAACAACGCACCGAATACGACACAAGCAGCGCGCGTCGCAGCGACGGCGCAGCAACAGCAACAGCAGTAACAACGGCGGCTGTGGTCGTAATAATATTGGGCATAAAAGTGCGACGGGCAACGAGACTGCCTTTGCTCTGGCCCTTCCACTGACGCAGACAGCAGCAGCAGCAGCAGCAGCAGCACAAGCGAATTCAGCGGCAGCAGCAGCAGCAACAACAACATCCGCAACAACAACAACAGCAGCAGCAGCAGCAGCAACAGCAGCAGCAACAACAAAAGCAGCAACACTTTTGTCAACCGAGCCGGAACATTCTGTACCCGTAAGTAGAGTACCAAAATGTGGGCGGCATATTCCAATCAGAAGCGAAAGGGAGAGAGAGTTGGGCGGGTGGGGCGAGAGAGGGAGTGGCAGGCAAAATACAAATACAAAGACAAAACGAAGAAGACGTTGCCGCCGCCGACGACGACACGTGTCAAAAGTTTAGCTCGCTTTCGCTTTGCACCGTGCTTCCTTCTGCATTTTGCCTTTTGCACAAAAACGTAAAAGAAGAAAACTGCGAAAGAAAGCCGCAGCACAGACAGCCGACTATTCATATAGTAGCTGTAGCTGGTTGGGCGTTTTGGGGTGGCAAAGTCCTTGAAGCAACAGCTCCGAGTCGTGCGATGTGCCTCCTGCGTCGGACTTATATAACAACTGTAGGAAATTTGGTTTGCCTGCTGCTGCTATTGGCTTTTGCCTTTTGCGTTCTTCACGTTGCTTTTTCTATCCTATACCCATTACGAATGTATACTGAGAGGTAGAACAGTTGTGCAATCGAAATGCGCCTCTCTATGCGATTTTCATAGGCTCAAGTGACGTCAGGTTTTGTGAATTAACGCATATGGAAATGGAATTGAAACATATTTGTTTGATTTATCTAAAAGTCGTAATGAATATGAATATATATATATATTCCTTCCCATTTATGCTCTCTCTCCATGCTCTTAAGCTTTCTCTATCCTTCTTACTCTCTCCCTTTCAGATTTTCTTCCTTACCTTTTGCCTAACTCCCTTCCTTTTTCTCTTTTCCCTCTATCCCCTTCACTCTCTTTCTCTCACTCCCCTTAATATTGCCTTTCACTGCGATTCTCAGAAATGAAAGCTAAGCTCAAAGTTCAAATAACGCGTGCGTGTATATTTGCGTTTGCATCTAAAAAACTCAATACAGGGTATCGGAGTATCTTCTACTCTGTCCTAAGACACTTTCGTACTTGTTATCCATGTTATGCAATGTCGTGACAACATGGAACGTGCCCGTGTCTGGCCCATTATTGTGCAAAGTATTTGCCGGATGCATGGCATATCTGAAGGGTAGACTTTTTCTCATTTTTTGTATATGTGCCTTCAATTTGTTTGATCATTCGCCAAATTCGTTTCGCCATTTGTGTTATGTCTTTATTATGATGAAAGTAAATTGAATTTATTCGAAAATATCTATTATTCAAATTAAAGATGAAAGCCTGGCAACTGCACCTACTTTAAGCTTGGCCAAGTTAAAACTCTAAGACTTTACATATGGTTAAACCTTGACAACAGTCGAGCCCACATCTTGGGCTACATCATTACCGCAAAGACCAAAGCAATGCCGCCGGCCAAGCCGCCAAGCAGCGGCAATACAATTAAACAGAAGCTGCAATGGGTTGCAATCGACTGCGTGATACCCTGTGTGAGGTGTAAAACAAGCTGAGAATGGGTAAAGAAGTGAAGACCAGTGATTTTTAAACTGTGACTCTCTCTGTAACACTTGGGCAGTCACTGTATAAACTGTGTTTCCAATTGACTTCTAAACTGTGAGTCCCCAAAACAATGACAGCTGCAAATGTGCGCATGGAAGTTCTTATTGTGAATGAGTAAATGGCTCTCAAACTGTAACTCTTAGACAGTGGACAAAAGCCGGAAGTGTAAACTGTGACTCCTAAAACAGTGATAACTACATTAGCAGTAACTGTAAACTGTGATTCCGATTGACTTCTAAACTGTGACTCCTAAAACAGTGACAGCTGCAAATGTGCGGATGGAAGTTCTTATTGTGAATGAGTAAATGACTCTCAAACTGTAACCCTTAGACAGTGGACAGAGGCAATAAGCATAAACTGTGATTCTAGATTCTTAAACTGCGACTCCTAAAACAGTGACAACTCTATAAACTGTAAATGTAAACTGTGATTCCAGCTGATTTAAAAACTGTGACTGGGTCTTCTTTATGTAACCTTAATATACCCTTCTCTTCACATTTAGAACAGAGAAGAAACAAAGAACGAAGATGGCGAAGACTTTTGACAAATTGTTGCTCGCTGCGCTGACAACTCGAAACATGCTTCATTATTTATTACAAGCCCACATACATAATGCATGTGTGTGTGTGTGCGAATTCGCATTGTCGTTGACAAACAGCATGGGAAAGCATACACACACACACATACACACATACATACACGTGCATATGCCCTATTGTGAGTTTGCTTTGTTTTAGCAGCGCCTTCATCACAATTTCTGCCTATCTTCTAAGCATCAGCAGACGTACACATACTCACACACTCACACGCACGCACACACACACACACATATGCATGCGTGACTTGGCATTTAGAACAGAGACGAGACGAAGAGGAAAGCGTTGCGTGGGCGTCGTAACTGGCGCTGCCGGCGCAGCCAACGCAATAAGAAACACAATTGCCGCTAATAACCCAAGGCGGCGTTTGCCATTGTTGCTGCTGCTGTTGCCGTCGACGTCGACGCGTAACTCGCGTTTTAATCGAATTTTATTTGCCGCCGTTAGGCAATGAATAATTCAATTTGATTATTAAATATGTGCGTTTCGACTGTTTCGCACCCCGACAGACGACGCGGCGTAGATTTCATAATTACCGTTATATGTTGCACACGCATACGCACACAAACACACGCGTTCACACGCGGCGACGAATAGAATAATTAGCGCGCGCGCACACAATTACATTTTTTCTTTAATTTTTTTCGCATATCACTTTTTTGCAGCCATTCGTAAAATTTACCGTTTGATCGTTTGCCTAAAGAACCAATACAAGCAGTTCGCGGCGAATGTTCATTGCCATTCACACACAATTTAGATCAAGACAATGTAACACCAATTTTCTACATACATACATAAATACATATGTATATATATATATATGTGTGTGTATGTTCATTCATGGCTGTGCATTTATAACAATTCGCAAATTTGCCAGCATATTTTGTTTAATTTAAATGGGAGGGTTGGTACGCAACAACGTCGTCTGGCGGCCAAAAAAACAACAAAAAATTATTTGCTAGATTTGTCATTTGTCACGCTCACTTGAACACATCAATCGCCAGGTGCACACGGGGGCGGGGCAGCAGCCCCACAAAATAATGTGGGACACACGGAATTATGTCAGCGGCAACGACACGTTCAATATGCAATCTTCATAAATTTACATACACACACACACACACACGCACGTTTATAGATATGTATTTATGTATGCTTGTATATATATGGATGCTTGATCAGTACCGTTACTCGGCCAAATTTCTTTCTTTTTGCACAAAACTCACAAAGGCGCAAGCTTCTGGTTTGATTTCGCGAACTATGTGCGTATGGCACGTGCCTCACATAGATATAAACACACAATACGTTATATAGACAAAAATAACCGCCTAATATTTAATTAACAAACTTTGCTAATTTTGTAACTAGCACGCGCAACTTCGATACTTCTTAAGCTGGTTCGATTAATTTGTCTGGCCAATAAGAGCCACAGCGTTGCCAATACGTTTTTTACATGTGTACCAAAGGGGTACAAGGCTGCCATGAAATTGGTACAACTTGTAACCCTATGTGTCGTGTACCTTTAAAGGCGAAGTATGGTACTTTTCTTAAGGGATTTCATATCTGTGGCAACCTTGTTGATATCGATAATATTAAAGACCATTCACATTATTGGCGCCAAGAGTGCAGCTCTGAGCTGACGATCGTCCGTCTCTAATAAAAAATTGTTGGGTCTGTTTAAACCTAAAAGCGTTGTTTGCATGCACAAAAACAATGTCCCATCATGTGAAAAATAGCCCAGCACGTGCCGGCAACGATGGCAGCCGTCGCAAAAAGCCGAAAACATTTAGCCTAAGCGAATTTCACAGTCTACTCGAGCGGGAGCAGACCAAAGCGCCAACTCCAGCTGCAGCTGCAGCTTCTGCTCCTGGTCCAGCGCCAGCTATTGACAATGGCAGCGGCGATGCGACAGAGCAAATTGCTGGTTTGGTCAATGCTTCGTCCAAATCGCATGCGGAATGCGTCGTCACATTTGCTGCCACGCCTCAAATCCAAACTTTGAGCCGCCCAACAACGCCGCCAACCGACCGTGGCCGTGGCCGTGGTTCGGGTCGCGTCCGTTCCTGTCCGCGCATAGCGACGCCTCCGCGCTGTGTGCCGCACGAGCTGCAGACGGTGGACCGCATGACATCCGCCGATTTTCGACACGATTTTGCGGCCCATCTGGAGAATATGCGCAGCCGGCAGAAGGAGCAACAGCACATGCATTTCTTTCAATTGGCCATCGAGGAGAATCGTCATCTGTTCGAGGGACGCACCATACTGGTCCTGAGCTGCGGCACGGGCACGCTGGCGCTGATGGCAGCCCGAGCGGGCGCCGCACATGTCTACGCGCTGGATCACTCCCAGGTGACGGACTATGCACGGCTGGTGGTGCGTGCCAATAAGTGGGAGCACATTATCAGCGTGCTGCACGGACGTGTGGCCGATGTGGAGCTGCCGCAGCGCGTCGATGGCATCGTGTGCAACTGGATGGGCCAGTGTCTGCTCTATGAATCGGAGCTGTTGGAGCTGCTCGAGGCGCGCGATCGCTGGCTCAAGCCGCACGGCTTCATCCTGCCCGATCTGGCGGCGCTCTATCTGCTGGGCGGCGCGGAGCAGCGGCTCAAGAACGAGCGCTGCAATTGGTGGCTCGACGTTTATGGCTTCAATATGAATGCCATGCGACGCTATGCTCTAGCCGAGCCGCGCTTTGTCCGGACGAAAGGCGAACGGCTGCTCACGCTGGCGCATCAGGTGCTCAGCTTGGATTTGCGCACAGCCAGTGTCGAGGATTTGCACATAGATCGGGACATACGTTTGCAGGTGCAGCAGGATGGCTATTTCGAGTGCTTTGTGCTCTACTTTGATGTGGCCTTCAGTCGCTCGCATCAGCCGCACAAGCTGAGCTGCAATCCTTGCCTCAACTCGCCCCTCAAATCCTTGTGGCATCAGACCCTGCTCTTTGTCGAGCAGCCCTTTATCATGCGCCAGGCATTTCATTATACGGGGCATCTGCGCTTCCAGCCCAAGCCAAACTTTCATCAAATGCGCATTGATATTGAGTTCTTCAAGAGCTCGCCGGATGGCGTACAGAGCAATCCTCTCGTGCTCAAGAGCTGGCTGCTAACGCCGCGCTTTCAAACCGTCGCGGAAGTGGCGCAATGTCAGGACAGGCAGTACTACTAGATTCCAGTTAGAAACTCCAATTAAAGTTAGAATATATTGTAAATATGGAAAGCCTTTTGCTAATGTAAATATCTCCATTTTCTTATCTTGCAGATGCTATCGGTACAGACGGCCGGCTGCGCGGGAATGGAGCGGCTTGGCGTTCCGACCCGCACATCATTGAGCACACCACCCGATGACAGGTAAGCAGCTGACCTAACTGACTATATAGAAGCATGTATAGATGCATTCCTTGGTAACAAGGGCAGGAACCAGCAGCAATTGCATTTATAGTTCTAACAGGCTAATCCTGGCCAGACTTGCTCTAATAGTTGACTAATAAGGTTTTCTATTTTGAACAGGGATCAATTTAGATGTAGAATGCGCGTTGATGCGCTCCAAGCACGCGAGCTGCTGGCCGTGCACAGCAGCAGCAACAATCAGCAGCAGCAGCAGCAGCAGCAACAACATCACAGCAATAAGCAACAACATTCCCACCATCAACTACAACAGCAACAACAACAACAACAGCAGCAGCAACAACAGCAACATTATCTGTACCAGCAGCAACAACAACAACAACGCATGACAGCTTCGCCCAGCGGAAGCGGCAGCGGCAACAACAATAACAACAACACGCATAGTATTAACAATTTTGTGGCGCGTGGCGGAATTGAGGCGACCACATTGAAGTACGGCAACACGGGCAGCGGGAGCTTTAAGAGCGATCTGAGCAGCACATCGTGCACATCCTCAACATCGTCGTGCAGCTCGCTGAATAGCCACAGTGCCGATCATCATCAACATTACCAATATCAGCTGCAGCAGCAGAGGACGCCGCGCTGCCCACATCATGTACCACTGCCGGACAGCGAGTACGGACAGGATCGTCATCTGCAAATACGCAGCAGCTACCAGGTGAGACACACTTTCAACCCACAGACATGCTCAATAACTCATCCTTCCCTCTCTCTCTCTCTGCGCACAGCAATCGGAAATCACACGCTCCTATACAAAGCCGCCGCCCAACAAAACCGTACGCGATGTGCCCGAACAGATATGCGCCGCCAATGCCAGCTATCGCCTGGCGGCAGCTAATAGCTGCGCTACTGCTGCCGCTGCCGCCGCCGCTGCCTCCAACTCGTCAACACCTGCCGCTTATGCGCTGGCAGCAGCTGGCGCAACAAAATCCAAACCGAATGCCATCACAAAGTTCTTCTCACGCATCAGTTCGCCCAAGTCGCCCACGTCGCTGGCGACGGGCTCGGGTGGTGCTGCAGCGGCAGCAGCGGGTGCAGCTATTGTTGTTGCCACGCCCACAACACTGGGCAGCTCATCGTTAGCATCATCAGCATCGATGTCATCGTCCGCCTCATCGCTGGCCTCGTCCGCGGGCATGCCCGCCTGTGTCTCACCATCCTCATCGGCCTCATCCCTGGCAGCCGCACCGCTGACCGCCCTGCCCATTGCCAATGCGGCGACACTTAAGAGCACCGCCTGCAGCTTTGGCAGCACAGCAGCGGCGACAGCGGGGACGGGGAGCCCCGCCGAACAGGAGCAGCAGGATGAGACGACGCAATAATTCCATGTTGGGAGCCGTAACAGATTCAAGATCTGTCCAAGAACTTCGCGCTGGCACGAAAAGACTGTTTATTAGTCAGAATTTAATTTGTAAACGATGAGAGGAGACACACACACACACACACACACACACACACACAAACACACACACACAAACACACACACACAAACACACACACACACACACACACACACACACACGCGCAGAGACACAGACACAATTTAGTTTTGTACTAAGCCCTCGGTTGGAGAGATCATTTCCATTTGTCGCATGCTAAAATATTTATACATAAAACAAGGAAAACAAACAAATTGAGACAGATAATACATATATATATATATATATATAGAGAACATAACGGTACATATTGTATTTTGTTTTAGTTGGAATATATAACTATATAGTTTTTAACACACCCACACACACACACACACACACAACAAATTCAATCTATACTCTATCTACCCACCACCAAATCAATCAGCCAACCTACGATTATCTAAACACACTTCGATATATACATAGATATATATATATATAGTTATATATTGTATTTGTATGATGGCCCCGATGTGCTGGAACACACACGCAACTTTTCTTTTAGTTCAATTCAAATTGATATATATCTAAAAATATGCATATATATACATATATATATCAAATATTTGTATTAACCAGTTAAATTTGTATATAGTTCAAGTATGGAAAATTGAATGAAAATGGAAAATCTTAGCGAAATTTGAAATATTGTTTTGAAAATTGAATTGACCCTTGCCGTATTATGTGTTCAAGCCGCGTAAACCCTACGATTTTTTAAAGAAGCACAGTTACCCCCACCCCCCTCCACCCCACACACAGTAAATATAATGCATGGGGGAGGGTGAGGGGGGGGGCGTGGCTTTGGGATTAGGTCGTCAGCAAGTGCAGGTGTAAATTTTTGATTTAGTTTAGCCAAATAGCGCAAATAAATCGATAATACAATTAACGCTATAAGTTAAAATGTAATAATAATAATAATTATGAGATATATATATATCAAAAATATATATGTATTTGTACATAATACGTTTGTACACAGCAATGTAAATTCTAAGCACAAATCTCAAAATTGCAAACAATTGCAGAAATATAAAAGACCGTTTGAAAAGCAAAAAAAAAAAAAAAAACTCTAAAAAACTTGAATTTTTTTTTTAATTATTATAATATTATATAGAGTTTTCTAGCATGCATATATTTGGCGTCGTTACTTCATATATTCGAAAAAAAAAGAAAGAAAAAATGATATTCCAAAATAAATAAATAATGTACTGAGCAAAGAGCTGGGAGCTCACGGAAACTGAGAACGAAAAGAATAAGATTGTATATATAAGTATATATATATATATATATATGTATATTATTTGCCTTTGGTCCTAGACGAACAATATGTGGGTATGTATAGGGAGAAGAGAGAGAGAGAGAGAGATATGTAAGTACGTATGTATGAGCAAACGGGACTGTTCTCGATAACGATCTCGATATACATTTCGATAGCGATCAACATTTTCAAGTGTTGGAAAGTGTTGAAGCTCGCAATTGGTGTTGAGCAGCAATAAAAACGGTTCGATATCGACTCGTAAAAAGTTATCGAAATGGTAGCGATATCTAGAACTGGCCCGATAACATAATTAATCAATCTAGATGCAGTACCAGCAATTCCAATCAAAGCACTCAAACTAGCGGCATTATCTAACTAAAAAAAACCAGAAATAATTCTAGCATATAAGCAAAGTATATATTATATATACGAAACGCAATATATAATAACATAGTTTTGATGTCAACTTCCGAATGATAAGCAAATGTGCGAAATGTTACGAATAGAGCCCGAATTAGTCGTTACTCGTATATAGATTGAATGGTTTCAATACTTACGATCCATTAAAGCATAGCACATAACGGCATAATTAACTAGTTAATGATACTAACTAAACAGTTAAGCAAGTCCTACGAGCCATTTAAGTAGCACTCGATGCCATTGACTGATATTTCTATAATGTAAATAAATGAATAACATTTAGCTGGGTTGGGTATGGGCGCAAAATTTAAATCTAATTTAACTTAAGCAAATCAAAACTTTTTAAAAACAAAACGAACAAACAAACACAATAAGAACGGGCCCCAAAATCACACATTTGAAATTTGATTTCAGTTCAAATTCGTTTCTTGCATCTTTTTCATGTGATGAAACCCAAAACAAAAATATTCAAAGAAAATAAAAATGGTAGCCGAAAAAAATATTGAAAAAAAGAAATACTCGTAACATTGCAAAGCGAAAGAGTTCAACTAAATACTAGCGAAATTTTTAAAAACCAAAAACGGGCATTCAAATAAAAGCAAAAGCAAAAGCAAGAAAAACAATGCATAAATAGCATATAAAAACGCGAAATACATAATACTATATTAAAATTATTACTCATTATTGTTGTTGTCTCATGAATATATATATAACATTGAAATCTAACAAAAGAACAATTCCAAAAGTCGTATCTAAACTTTCGTTTTCAAGCGCAACGGGCGGCACAGTGCTGGGCACTCGACTAGCGACACTTTCGATATTTTGAGTTTTATAGCAATTCAAGCAGTTTACCACGATGGCAAGCAGTTGTTGCTGGAAGAGCTGAGTGAGAAGCAGTTTAGTCTGTTAACAATCGCCATAAAATCGATGTAAGCAGTTCAAACAGTTTACCATAATGGGAGCAACTGTCTGAAGCAGTTAGCAGTACTGAAAATCACAATCACTTATGGCTCGAAAGCAGCAGTGCAATATCTTTACAACTATCTATAAAATCAGGTAAGCAGTCAAAACATCTTACCATAATAACAAGCAGACGGGCGTGAAAAAAACGGCATGAGAAGCAGTTCCGCAGTAAGCAGTTTCAGAATCGTACTAAAATAAGCAGTTATGGCTGGAGAGACATAAGAGAGGAAAAACCATAAAGAAAAAGCCAAGCCTCGTGAAAATCGGTTGAGTTTTGACCAAGTTATGGGGGTGGGAAATTTCGACCCATGTCTATGTCCAAAACTAGGTCTATGTCCAAAACTAGGCTAAGATTTTGACATGAAATTCGACCAAAAATTGTGTGGTCAGATTTAAATGCCCGATTAATCTAGGGGGAAAACCATGAAGAAAAAGCCAAGCCTCGTGGAAATCGGTTGAGTTTTGACCGAATTATGTGAATGGGAAATTTCGACCCATGTCCAAAACTAGGACTATGTCCAAAACTAGGCTAAGATTTTGACATGAAATTCGACCAAAAATTGTGTGGTCAGATTTAAATGCCCGATTAATCTAGGGGGAAAACCATGAAGAAAAAGCTAAGCCTCGTGGAAATCGGTTGAGTTTTGACCGAGTTATGCGAAAGGGAAATTTCGACCCATGTCTATGTCCAAAACTAGGACTATGTCCAAAACTAGGCTAAGATTTTGACATGAAATTCGACCAAAATTTTTGTTCTCAGATTTAAATGCCCGATTAATCTAGGGGGAAAACCATGAAGAAAAAGCCAAGCCTCGTGGAAATCGGTTGAGTTTTGACCAAGTTATGGGGGTGGGAAATTTCGACCCATGTCTATGTCCAAAACTAGGACTATGTCCAAAACTAGGCTAAGATTTTGACATGAAATTCGACCAAAATTTTTGTTCTCAGATTTAAATGCCCGATTAATCTAGGGGGAAAACCATGAAGAAAAAGCCAAGTCTCATGAAAATCGGTTGAGTTTTGACCAAGTTTTGGGGTGGGAAATTTCGACCCATGTTCATGTCCAAAACTAGGACTTTGTCCAAAACTAGGCTAAGATTTTGACATGAAATTCGACCAAAAAATGTGTGGTCAGATTTAAATGCCCGATTAATCTAGGGGGAAAACCATGAAGAAAAAGCCAAGCCTTATGAAAATCGGTTGAGTTTTGACCGAGTTATGTGAATGGGAAATTTCGACCCATGTCTATGTCCAAAACTAGGATTATGTCCAAAACTAGGCTAAGATTTTGACATGAAATTCGACCAAAAAATGTGTGGTCAGATTTAAATGCCCGATTAATCTAGGGGGAAAACCATGAAGAAAAAGCCAAGCCTTATGAAAATCGGTTGAGTTTTGACCGAGTTATGTGAATGGGAAATTTCGACCCATGTCTATGTCCAAAACTAGGCTAAGATTTTGACATGAAATTCGACCAAAATTTTTGTTCTCAGATTTAAATGTCCGATTAATCTAGGGAGAAAACCATGAAGAAAAAGCCAAGCCTTATGAAAATCGGTTGAGTTTTGACCGAGTTATGTGAATGGGAAATTTCGACCCATGTCTATGTCCAAAACTAGGATTATGTCCAAAACTAGGCTAAGATTTTGACATGAAATTCGACCAAAATTTTTGTTCTCAGATTTAAATGCCCGATTAATCTAGGGGGAAAACCATGAAGAAAAAGCCAAGTCTCATGAAAATCGGTTGAGTTTTGACCAAGTTATGGGGGTGGGAAATTTCGACCCATGTCTATGTCCAAAACTAGGACTATGTCCAAAACTAGGCTAAGATTTTGACATGAAATTCTACCAACATTTTTGTTCTCAGATTTAAATCTAGGGGGAAAACCATGAAGAAAAAGCTAAGCCTCATGAAAATCGGTATAGTTTTGACCGAGTTATGGGGTTGGGAAAATTTGACCCATGTCTATGTCCATAACTAGGTCTATGTCCAAAACTAGGCTAAGATTTTGACATGAAATTCGACCAAAAATTGTGTGGTCAGATTTAAATGTCCGATTAATCTAGGGGGAAAACCATGAAGAAAAAGCCAAGCCTCATGAAAATCGGTTGAGTTTTGACCAAGTTATGGGGGTGGGAAATTTCGACCCATGTCTATGTCCAAAACTAGGACTATGTCCAAAACTAGGCTAAGATTTTGACATGAAATTCTACCAACATTTTTGTTCTCAGATTTAAATGCCCGATTAATCTAGGGGGAAAACCATGAAGAAAAAGCCAAGTCTCATGAAAATCGGTTGAGTTTTGACCAAGTTATGGGGGTGGGAAATTTCGACCCATGTCTATGTCCAAAACTAGGACTATGTCCAACACTAGGCTAAGATTTTGACATGAAATTCGACC